TCTCATGCCAGTCTCTATAAGTCTCAGTCATTTTCTGTATGAGCCTCTTGATGTTCTTATTAGCTGCCTCTACCGCTCCATTCATCTTTGGGCGATAAGTGGTGTAATTATGATGTTTAATCTGGAATTGTTTACATACTGACTCCATCATCTTATTGTTTAAATTCAAGGCATTATCGGTGATGATCCTTTCTGGTAGCCCATACCGACAAATAATTTCTCTCTTCAGGAACTTGCAAACTGTTGACTGAGTGACATTTGCGTAGGAGGCCACTTCTACCCACTTAGTGAAGTAGTCTATTGCCACGAATATAAAACGATTGCCATTAGAAGCTTTGGGTGAAATTTGCCCAATGACATCCATGCCCCACATAGAGAATGGCCACGGAGCAGTCATTACGTGCAATGGATGAGGAGAGGTGTGGATCTTATCTCCATAAATCTGGCATTTGTGACATTTTTTGGAGAAATTGATACAATCAGTTTCTAGGGTTGACCAATAATATCCAAATCTTATTATTTGTTTAGCCATTGTATGTCCATTAGCATGAGTACCACATACTCATTCATGCACTTCTTCAATAATCGTTCTGGCTTCTTTGGCATCCACACATCGCAACAAGACCTGATCATGACTCTTCTTGTACATGATATCACCATCAAGCACATACCCTACCGCCATTCTTCGAATAGTTCTTTTGTCATTCTCAGTGGCATGCTCAGAGTAGCTTTGATATTTAATATATTGCATGATGTCGTAATACCAAGGATTTCCATCATTTTCCTCTCCTATGCTATAGCAATGGGCTGGATACCCTTAAGCTTGCATTGTAATAGGCATCATGCTTGAATATTCATTGACTTTATAGGCTGCTGCCAAAGTGGCCAAAGCATCCGCCATTTGATTCTCTTCTCTAGGGAGGTAATGGAATGTCACTCGCCCAAATTCTTTAATGAGCTCTAGGACCAACTTACGGTATTCCACCAACTTCGCATCTTTTGTTTCCCATTCACCTCTGAGTTGATAAATTACCAATGCTGAATCCCCATATACTTTGAGTGTTTTCACTTTACGCTCAATGGCCGCTCTAAGACCCAGAATACATGCTTCATATTCGGCCATGTTATTTGTGCAATCAAAATTCAATCGACTAATGAAAGGATAGTGTTTATGATGCAGAGTAGATGGAACGACTCCTGCCTGGTGGATCCAAGGCCTTCTTAACAAGCAGTTATAGGAGGGCATTATATCCATTACAAGGAATTCGACCTCGTAGGTTGATGGGCCTATGGTTAAAGGAATATTAATCTTCCCCAAAACTTCATTCTTTGTTCCGTCAAAAGCTCGAACGATGCTTTGGCAATTTCTCATGTGTGTACTATCGACCAGTAGTTTCTTCAAGGTTACTAATGGCATCACATTCAGGGCAGAACCATTGTCAATTAGTACTCGCGATAACACATGTCCCTTGCATTGGATGGTAATGTGCAAGGCTTTGGGATTGCCCATCATTCCGGACGGGATCTCGTCATCAGAGAAAGAGATGAAGTTATCCGCCTGAATATTTGCAACCAGTCGGTCTATTTTTTCCATTGGTACATCTTTCGATACGAAAGTCTGATTCAAGATTTTCAACAAGGCGTTTCGATGTGCCTCAGAGCTTAATAGTAAAGCTAGGATTCAGATACGAGCTGGCAATTTGTGTAATTGTTCAACAATGCTATATTCGCTATGTTTCAAGAATTTTAAAAACTCTACAGCATCATTTTCGGTTACAGGCTCATTAATTGTCAGCTCATCATTTTTCAATAATATCTCAACCCTTTTTCCTTTATCAACGGTCGTCCTTTTCTCGGGTTCACTGGTCTGGTTGGGAGAATAACATCTCCCACTTCTGGTGAAATGGCCTACCTCGTCCACCTCTTCCTTAGCAGCCTCTGAACTCTCAACATTCTTTAATTGGCATCCATACCTCCAAGGGACCTGCTTGTTGTCCTTATAAGGAAAGGACGACAGAGGCGTGATCACTATTTTAGGGATTAACCTTTCCATAGTCTGGGCTTTCGGTGTGATGACTAAAGGGCAGTTAGTATTGTAAACTCCCTTGGATGTGCCTTCGGAAGCGCAAATCTCAATCTCTTTCTCTTTTGTAGCTTCATGGTAAAATTCCATATCTTTACTATCCATCAGCCTTTGAACCAAGGCCTTGAACTCATCACAGTTTTGAATGACATGATCCTCGCAACGGTGGTAGGGGCAAGCATGCTTATTTTCGTTAGCATTAAAGGTCAACCAGCCTATTTTGACCATTTGCCCCCATACCCAATGCATGGATGACTTCACTTCTTTGACTTTGGTAATGACTCCGTTCCCTTTTTCTTCAATAACAACATTAACCCCTATCCCTGTATGATTCGGCAGTGGGTTCTGAGCCACATTGGGCTGCTCACTGTCACTGAAATTGATGACATTTCTTTGTCTTAATCTCTGCACCAACTTTTTAAAGACCAGACAGTTTTCAATTGAATGCCCCGATGCCCCCGCATGATACTCACATTGAGCATTGATGTCAAACCATTTTGGGTAAGGAGGTTGTATTGGATAAGTGTGGTAAGGTGACACCACATGTTTGTCATACAAGATCTAGAATAGTTCTTTATAGGTCATGGGGATAGGGTCAAATTGAACCCTTTCCCTTTCCTGTCTTGGTTCTTTCGCCCCTTGCTGGACAGGATTTAATGTTGACAATACAGTGGCTTGTGGTCGAGATACTGTAATGTTATTAGAATCATATTTCTTCACATTACTGACCTCATTATCCTTCCTTCTTGCAGGAGGCTTTCGGCTAGATTCTCCCCCGTCTAGCTTCCCGCTTTTGATCGCCATCTCAATCATTTCTCATGCGTTGACTATATCAGCAAAATTCTTGGATGAATTTCCAATAAGATGTCCAAAGAATGGGGCCCTCAGAGTATTTACAAAGAACATATTAGTTTATTCCTCCTCTAATGGTGGATGAACTTGTACAGCCATATCTCTCCACCTTTGGGCATATTGCCTGAAGCTCTCATTGGATCTTTTTTCCATACTCTGTAACAGAATTCGATTCGGCCTCACATCTTTTACGTGCTTATATTGCTCTGGAAAAGCCTTAGCCAAATCCTTCTAGGATTTAATCTGAGCTCGGCTTAACTGATTGTACCAACGGACTGCTGAGCCTGCCAGGCTCTCTTGAAAACAATGAATTAATAGTTGATCGTTTCCAACATAGCCTGTCATTTTTCTGCAAAACATGGTAATGTGTGCAGAAGGACAACTGGTGCCATCAAATTTCTCGAAGTCTGGAACTTTGAACTTCGGTGGCAGCACTAAATCAGGGACCAGACTTAGCTCTCTAGCGTTAATTCCATATAGGCTAGCATCTTCTTTCATAGCTCGAAATTCATGCTTCATTTGTTCCCATTCTTTCTTAATCTCCTTATCCTGTTCTTTTTTGTCTTCCTCATCGAGATCAGGGACATCTTCAATTGGTTGCGGGTTTGTAGAAGAGCCAGGTAGGTTTACTTGTACATTTTTTGGTTGGATGATCGTGGCTTGTTGTGCGTAGACATATGGTGGTGTGAAACCAGGGGGATATAATGGTTCCTCGGCAGTATGACCGATAATTGGAGTCTCTTCTCGGATTATACTATTTCCTTGTAGTAAACTAATCAGCTTTGCCATTATGTCGTCTTGAGCCTTCATCATCTGTTCATGCATATCCTCTTGCGCTTTCTTTAAATTCTCTTGCATTTCAACTTGAGTTTTTTCAATTTGTCCGATCTTGTCATACATTTTCTTGGTTGACTGACGAGTACCGTATGGGTGTGAGGTGTATGACAGAATAACTACAAATGATTGGAAATTGTATTTTATTATTTGTTGAATTTTAATGAATGAATTGTTATAATGTAATCATTAAGATTTTGAAAATTTAGAAAAAAAAACATATGAAAATGCTAATGCAAATGCAACCCGATATTGATTCCAAAATAACTTAGTTTATAAAAAAAGTACTCAACAACACACAACGTCTAAGCACTTAGGCAAAGAGATTATATCGATATGATTACTAAACATAGAATCTTGCCATATTCCCTAATCTCTCGAGCTCTATCATCAATCCCATGATGCGGCGTTCTTCTTCTGATTCTGGAATCACAAAAACTCTTAAAGTTGTCGCTTCTTCACATAATTCATAAACTTGGCGAGCTACATCGCGAGCCTGATCCACTGCTCTCTCCATTGCTTCATGTTGCATTTGAATGATGTCCTGAGCTTGTCGTAGAGAAATTCCAAGATCTGGATTAGTTAATGGTCGGCTCTCTTCTAGCTGTTGGATTCGCTGATGAGATCTATGCACTATGACTTCTAACTCAGTAATCTTGGCTTTTAAGGCCTCGTTTTCTTGCATGGTTACCTCTTGTGCAGATGAGTGGATCAACCCTTCTCTTTCTAGCTCAACTGTCTTCTTCTTTAACATTTCATTTTCTTTTTGGAGACTGTTGTAAGGGTTCCAAAAAGTCTCATCGATGCTAAGCAGCTGTGCTTCGAGTTGTTCAATCTGTGCTCGCCTTTGTGCTAATTCTTGGTTAGCCTCATCTCTTTGCTCTCTCAGTTTCCGAGCATGTTGTAGGGCTCGTTTCTTTTCTTCTTGGCCTCTTCTTGCGCTTCTTTCTACCCTATCGAGTTTTATCTTTAGGGTCTTGGCAGTATGATGTAGACCTTGGGCTCTCATATTCCTCTCTAATGCCCGAAAATCTTGGTTTAGCGCATCAAAATTCTCCTGGACCTTTTCTTTCTCTTTGGCCAATTGTTTTATCACTCCGTCCTTCTTAATCATTTCAAGTTCCAATATTGTTTTCTCCTCCGAAAAGCTTCTCTGTTCTTTTTCTCTCTCCAAATTCATCAATCGCATTTCCTCTTTTAACAATTCTATTTCTGTTGGGAGCCTCCTCAATCACTCCTCCATGGTCAACTGGTCCTCTAAATTTGGCTTAGGTGTGTTGTTATTAATTCTCTGCGACCTCCAAAACTCATAGGCCGGCGTGAATACAGGCTCTATCATCTTAAAGCTCATGCATTGAGGCTTCTGCCAAGCCACGTAGATCTTTGAAATCTGCTCTCGGTAACCTGGAGTAGAAAAAGAAAACTCTGCCTCTTTCAGGCCGTGGGTAGCTGGTACGAACTGTCGGGTACCAAACTGTCTGAGTACAATTAGCGGAGTATAACCGATAGCTCCCCATAATTCGTGTAGCATTATAAAACTATCATTACCACACCTGAAAAGTATGTCCTTTTTGGGTAACCAATAAGCCTTCCATACTATCTCAGTATCTTTCATGTTACGGAGAGCTTCAACCCAGTCTTTCCTCTTACGATGCTCTGGAATTTGGCATTTATCGAGGAAATCCACTAGAGGCGAAAAATTTGATTGATGTCTCTGAGCACAGCCTTTCTCGACTATCCAGGAGTGGCTCCACCACCAAACTAGTAACATTGAGGCACATCCAATGAATTGACCTCCCCCTAATCGTCTACACTGGTTCAGTGACAAAAATGTTTCCGCAAGGATGGCTGGTGCGGGATTCTTTCTAGCGATAGCTTTGACGAAATCGATTAAGGCGATGTCGAAGTGATCCTCGTTCCTAGGGAAAATTACCAAACCATATACTGCAAGTGCGAAGTGATCTCTTCTTCTTTTCGATGGAGTTTGCTCGTAAATTAAACTCTTCAGCTGAGCCCAGGAGATCCCCTCATCACGAATGTACTCTTCGACCCACTCCTTAGTCTTTCCCGTCAACGTGATCATCTTGGCTATGAACCCTTTAGGTCGAATTACCTTGGTGTAAATGGAATGTCTTCTAACATTTAGGATGTTCAACAAAGTCGTATACTCCTCTAAGGTAGGGGTCATATCTACTTTACCGAAAGTGAAACACCAGTAAGCTGGATTCCAACATTTGGCAAGGGCTCGAATCACCACTGGATCTATTGGTACTCTCAGCAGCTCTACGATGTCGCCGTATATCCCTCTGAACAATGTCTTCTCATTATCATCCCAGGTGGACCAAATTCTTGATAACTCAGCTCAGTGTGCATGCCTGATCCGAATAATTACCTTTTCTGGAAAAATTGAATCTTCGATAGTAGCAAGGCTATCCCCGAACCGTGTCTGTCCGTATTCAGACCAGGTCTGAACTCTGATTGGATTCTCAATCCCATCGGAAGACATTGTCACCTTAAGCTTTTTTATAATAACTAGGTAAGCTGGGAATCAATATCGTTTATGAAATGATGTGATATGATAATGATACATACAATCAGGAAACAAAGAAATAAGTTAGTGATATTAGAATAATTCAAAGAATAATTAGTAAAAAATTAAAGTAATGAATGCCAAATAATCAAAGAAAATTAAAAATCTTAACATCATGCGATCTAGTTCTTCTAAGTTATCTTCATGGCTTTAACAAGGTAGGCTTACTAAATTCTATATATGAGGTTGGGTTCTAACAAAAGGTTCCTAAGCCATCTTTACAACCTGCTAAGGTTGACCCTAATTCTGGCCTATTACAGACTTGCGAATCGGGTTCAGCTCAGGGGATCACACCACTAAAAGCGTACCTCGGAACTGATATCCGGATAGGCAACTTAGGGTGCTTTCCAGAGATACTTTGTCTGACCCACACAAGGAAGCCCAATGCTCCTCGTGAGGTGTGACGTTTCTCTCTACTTAAGTATACTAGGATTGAGCTCAAGTTTAGAGCTATGATATGCAACAATTCTAAATATTTCACAGAAGTGTAAGCATTAATCAGAGAGAATTTTTTTTTTTTGCTTTTTGAAATAACATAATGAATCGTAAATTAAACAAGATCGAACTCATAATTTCCAAATAATAAATATAGGGTAACCAACTCATGGCTCGACTCTCAATTTGTTTTAAAAACAAAAGTCCCCAGCAGAGTCGCCAAGCTGTCGTAACCGTTTTTCGCCCAGAAGGGGAAAGATCGATACCGATGGGGGTTTCTCTTTGAAAATTATTTCGAAAGGTGAAGAGTCGCCACCAATCATTTGAGGTGTGATTGGAATACCTTAAAAACTGGGTGATTTTAATAAAACATTTTATTTTTATCAAAATACCGAGTTTTGGGGTCTACGAAAATCCAGAAATCAGGTTCGGGAGTCAGTTACGCATGGGGAAGGATTAGTACCCCCATAAGCGCCCAAAAATTGGTACCTACTTAATTACCTTATATTTAAAATCGGAAATTTTGAGTTCGATCTTTATTTAATTTAAAAATCATTAAGGATGCAGAGTTTGAAAAGGGTATTCGTTTATTGAGACCGATAGCATTCGCCCCTGAGCGTAAATGCGGAAGATCAGCTATTTTGTCTAATAACCGAACATTGCCTCATTTTTAGAAAACATGATGTGGTTTTAAAAAAAGATGTCGACTTATTTGGGGAATTACCAGTAGTCACCCCCTGAGCACGATCGCGGAGGATATACTATTAATTCCTTAATAAGTGAACAGTGCCTTAGATTTGTAAAAACAACGCAATCAAATAAAATTTTATTTGTCCTAATTAACTAAAAGTAAATCAAGGCCTTTTTCTAACTTAAAATGTCAAATTATGAAAATTAAGGAACATAGGGGCTCAAATCTAAAATGTAAGTTCTAGTATTAATACTTAATGTTATATATTAAAATAGATTAAATATTCACGTATTAGAAAGTTTCTTTCGATAATTATAAAATGATCGAATATTACTCTTAGTCAATTTATTTCAAATCGAGTTAAGTGATATTAATGAAGATATTACACTATTCATGTAAAAAATGACTAACTATATGCAAACAAACAAAAATTGATTTTGTACCAATACTAAATTATCAACTAAATATATATATATATTATTAATAAATTGATGTTTAATAAAAATAATAATATGCATAAATCATATATATATATATATATATGAGTAAATTACTAAAAATAATTATAATATATATACAAAAAAGTGTTACGCATATATGCTATAATATGTATTACATAATATGGATAATAAAATAGATATACATTCTACCTACTGTATATAACCTATATATATAATATACTTAAATAATATATGTTTACAAAATATATTATATACTATATATGTTTACAAAGTAAAAGACATATAATATATTATGGGAATTATCACACTTTTAATATACAATATAAAAGAAACATACATAATATATATATATAAAACACAACAACCACGTGAGTTAGTCAACAAATATATTACATAATTAAAAGAATCTAACTTTAAACATAAGCACAATGATCCACTAACTAAAAAAAGCAACCTTATCACTAAAGTTAAAGGGATCCGATGATAAATATAGGGATTAAAGTAAAAACTTTTAAAGTAGTAGGCCAAAAACACAAACAATGCAAAATTCAATTTAACAAACCAAATTGACTAAAATAGAACATGCAAAAACTTTAAGACCAAATGTGTAAATGAAAAAAAATAAATATCTTAGCATCCGGGACTAAAATCAAATGCGCATAAAATATAAAGACGAAATTAAAAACTTAAAAAACTCGAATTGAGGACTAACATGAAATACGCGTCAACTTAGGATCCATAAACAGAAACTTTAGAAACTTGAAGACCAAAACACAATAATTTAAAGATCAGAGGATCACACACATGATTTTTCCTTTTGCCAGGCTTGAGTTTCACTAAACCTAAACACTGCCATTTGGTTTGTAACTTTAGCTTAGCATTTAACTTAAATAAAATAATATATGTACTAAACCCAATCCCAACTTCACAGAACATGCGCCTCCTTTCTCTCCACTCTCCCAATTCTTTCTCGGCCACACACAGAGCCGATTTCAACACCCATCAAAGAGCTTCTAAGCTCTTCACACTGGTCAACGAGACCCAAACGACAATAACATGGAGTCATCGAGACTCCACTGGAATTCGCACGACTCAGGTAAATCAACCCCAAATCCTCTTTGTTTTAATATTATTATTTTTATATCGAAATCTTATTTTGCTTATAATTTTCGTGTATGATTTCTTGCTGAAATGTGAAATTGTTAAACACCTAATGAGCCTATGATTCCACTGTTGGTTTCGATTTGAATAAAAGAAACAAAGAAAGAAAGAAAGAAAATGATATATATACCTTAAAAAAAACTCCATTTAGTATTTTATTCTTGATTGAAGTTGAATGATTACAATGGTTATGTCTTTCTTCAATGGAGGCTCAATACTCTATTACAAATGATCTTTTTTAGCTTTTCGCCCCCTGTGAATTCCCCCTGTTGAAAAACCGAGCCCTCTGTCTTTATCCTTTTTTTTTCTCCACCCTTCGATGAACCGAGCCCTCTGTCTTTATGCTTCATCCTGGTGGTTGTTCCACTGAGGATTCTTTAATGGACGATTAGGTTTCAATTTTTTTATTGTTTGTGGGATTTGAGTGGGTTTGAATGGGATTTTGTCTGATATTGTGAAGATGTTCGTTGACATATGCAGTGACGACCCATGGTGGCTCAGTGGAAGCTTGATGGCTCAGCTACAGCGGTTGGCTTCGGCTGAGGTGTCTCGGCTCTTCGGGTATTCGGGTTGATTTTTTTGGGCTCCGGGATTTGTTGTAATACGAGTTTGTAAATTGAGTCTGCAAAATATAAATTAATAATTAATAATAATAATAATAATAATAATAATAATATATTTTTAGGATGAAAAAAACGAGTGTCAACAGCCCGAATGAGCTGTAATCGCCCAGTAAGTCTTCTAGTCACCAAAGGGATCCCCAAGTACCTAACTAGTAAACGTCTTAATCGAAATCCCGAAACCTCCCTAATAACATCACATTGAGCATCAGAGACCCCATCTATGAAGATCTCACATTTAGCAACATTAAGCCTCAAACTTGAGATGGTATAAAAGTGCTCAAGAACATACTGAACCCTAATAATATAATCAATATCAACCCTGAAGAAAATAAGCAAGTCAATAGCAAAACAAAGATGCGCTAGACTTACTTTCTTACACCTGGGGTGAAATCCAAACAACCCGTCATAGCAGCCAGACCAAGCAAACAAGAAAGGACATTCATTGCTAGCATAAAAATGTAAGGTGATAGAGGCCCACCCTGCCTAACCCCATGTTAACCTTTAAAATAACCCACCAAGCTACCATTAATCACAACCGAGTACCTAGGCGAGTTAAAACAAGCACAAATCCATCCAATAAGCTTTTCAGACAACCCCAGATCATAAAGAATGGATCTCACAAAATCCTAATTCAACGAGTTAAAGGCCTTCTAAAGATCAATTTTCAAGGCACATCTCGGGGAAATATTTTTCCTACCATATCCTCTGACTAGCTCATGAGCAAGGATAATATTATCAACAATGTTGCGTCATTTCACAAAAGTTGTCTGATTAAGAACAATTATTCCCAAAAAATAGTTTCTAAACGAGACACGAGGGTCCTAGAAATGGCCTTATACACAATAGAACAGCAGTAAATCAATCAAAAGTCTTTTACCATTGCTTGGTTCGGAATCTTTGGAACCAAAACAACAGCTGCAGAGTTAAAAGCTGGAAAGATAGAAGATGTGGTAAAGAAATGCTTAATAGCAGCTTTAACATCCATGTTAACAATAGACCAAGCCATTTTAAAGAAATAAGAAGAATAACCATCCGGGCCAGGTGTCTTATCATTTCCCTGAGCCTAGATAGCCTGCTTAATCTCATCATCAGAAATCTCCCTACACAAGGAATAAATAGCCTTATCAGACATAGAATAACTAAGAAGGTCTCTCAAAAGACTAACATCACAACCCACAACATTATGATCTACAACCCCCAATTGCCTCTTAAAAAAATCCACCACCTCATTTGAAATATCCTCAAAAGATTCGAGCCTGCGCCTATCCTTATCCATAAGAGTACGTATAGTATTCTTTCTTTTCCTTACGCCCACTTATTTGGCTCGCAAGTTGGATCGTATTCTTATTAATTCTAATTGGATTAATAACTTTTCGAATTCTTTTGCTAAATTTCTAGCTCCTGGAGAGTCTGATAACTGCCTTGCTTTGTTATGGCTTTCCAAAGTCGCCTCTACTAATAGCCGAAGTCCTTTAAATTTTTCAATTTTTGGGCTCATCACCCCAATTTTTTTGACATTGTAAGGGAGTCTTGGTTTGTTCCTCT